AAGTGCAGAGTACTGCACGGATTAAACAGCGTACAGGGGGCTCTGATTCTGCATTGTCACCAAAAAACTCTTGTGTGTAAGCAGGGGTAAAGCAGGGAGGGATGTTTGTGACTAAAAGAACGTGAGGACTATGATTAAACCCTTTACTCCTCATACACTTCCATTCTCAGCCTGTCCCAAAATCTATTCTAGCTTGACAGAAACGGCACCTGCTGTCTTCCAGGAGCAGAAAAGAATCTCCCCCTCCCCTCCCGAAAAGATATCCTGTTGGGATATAGCTAATAATAAAAATGATTATATACACACACACACTGGACTTGCCTAGTGCTTTACGTGAACAGATATTAAAGCTCTTTGCCAGGGACGGTTAACATGATTATACTCCTATTATGGATGAGGATGGAGGAGACCTGGAAGAAAGCATTTTAACTTTTAATGTGTTCTAAGGGGTGGAAATGCCAACCCTTCCCTCGCTAGGAGTTCAAATTTCTAGAAAAAGGCAAACTCTCTGGGTTAAATGTAGCCTAGGGTTAACATACACACAGAGCAGAAAATCCACTCATGGAAAAGAGGCAGAAGGCTGAGGTAGCAATAGAGGTTTCTGCTATCCCAAAGGGAGCCAATGTTCCCAAGGAAGGCAGCAAGGTGGAGGCATAACTTGATCTCTGATTCAAGACTTCTCCATAGCAGTGTACACCTCTGGGAGCCAAATAGATAAAATCTCAATTTGCCTGTGCCAGAAAATATAAAATAGGAACATTAATAGCAGCAACAATTTCAGGCCACACCAAAGATGACTTGACTCTGCTCATCATATATATAGTAGCTCAGTGTCTGAGAGTCTGTAACGCTGAAATGCTGGCTGTTCCCTCTGGGTGGCCTGTGCTGCATGGGGAGTGCGGGGCCCAAACGGCCGCTTGCACCGCTTTCTCCCCCATGGTGACCTGGCTGAGCGGCACAGAAGTCAGCAGAGAACAACGGCGGGAGGAGAAGGGGGGCGTGGCGGTGATGTACAGCATGACAGAGGCTCCAGGCCCTGCCCCCTGGCCGTGAACGTCACTGCCCCGCCCCGCCCCCCCTCGCCTCCTGCCGTGGCGCTCGGCCGACTTCTGCGCCGCTCAGCCAGGCCGCCGCGTAGAAGCAAGTGGCGCAAGCAACCGTTTGGGCTCCACACCCCTCATGTAGCACAGGGAGTGCGGTGCCCAAATGGCCATTTGGGCTCCATGGTCCCCTGTGTGAGAGGCAGGAGGGGGAGGAGAAGAGACAGAGAGAGGCAGGAGGTAGAGGAGAGCTGAGGGACAGGGGAAGGGGGAGGCAGTATGAGGAGAAGAGAGAGAGATGGAGCGAGGGACCGGAGGCTCAGGAGAGTAGACAGACGTGGAGGAGAGACCTGAAAATCCCATCTTATGATGGGCTATTTGGCTAGCTATAACAGAGTACCTGACATCTTTGTACTTAATCCTAAAATCAAGTGTCGGTAAAATTGTTACACATACCTGGGAATTTTTATTTCCTCACCCTTTTTTTTAACTGGGTTTTATCAGAGTCCTATGCTTCACTATGAAACCCATATGTCTTCCATAATCCAGAGCAGGGAGGTGTTAATCGAATATCAGACACAGAAAAATCCATTTGCATTAGGGATGTAAAAATCTGTTTAATTGGCTAAATGTTTAAACTTACTGTAATGCTATGGCTCATGGGTTTTAACTAAAGCCTTAGTGAATTCTTCAAAGCCTCTCATTCAGCACACCTGACACTGTTCTGGATCATAACTTGTCACTGGCAAGATAATGTGACAGCTCCCCTCCTCTCAGGGATATGGGGCTCACATACAAGAATGATATAGAACAATCATTTTGTAAACAGTGTTCACCCATAGGTGACACAAGACCAAACACTCATAATTTTCCTGTGATAGTTCATTTGTGAGGCCTGGCCTACCCTAGCCTCCAAGGGAACCTGAGTAACACTTTGAAAAGACAAGCCTGGGAGACTAAGTTCATTGCTCTGCTAGATGCTAAACATCTTGGACTGAACGGAGACATTGAATTCATGACTTACTATGACAATCTGTAACTGATTAACCTCCTCTTTTTGTCCTATGACTGCAAAGGTGTTCAGGGGCCCCTCTACCTTGAATGGCCCCTTACAACACATGCTAAGTGCTTACTCTAAATAGTCAGTTCCCCCTTGTGTCTTGGCTGGGAATACTTTCCCCAGCCCTAAAGGAGAGCTTTAGAGTAGCTGGAAAGCTTGTCTCTCAGCAACTGAGTGGGTCTAATACTGGGGTTCTCAAATTTCATTGCACCATGACCCGCTTCTGACAACAAAAATAACCAAATCCTGAGCCCACCCAAGCCCCATTACCCCAGTTGGGGGAGAGAGGGGGAGGGGAGGAGTCCAAACCCCATCAGTGCTCTGGGCTGAGGGACCAAAGTTGAATCTCAAGGGCTTTATTTCCTGGCAAGGGGCCTGCAACCTAAGCCCTGCCATCAGGACTGAAACCCTTGGGCTTTGGCCCTGTGGCTTGGTCTTACGCCCGAGCAAATCTAAGCCAGCCCTGGCGACCCCATTCAAAGGGAATCATGACCCATTTGGGTGGCCCAACCCACCATTTGAGAACTGCTGGTCTAATAAGTTGTTTCACCTGCCTTGTCTCTCAAAGGTAATGTAAGCTCTCACCTAGCAGGACCGCTCCTACATGTGACATTATTTCCTAAGGTTGTATCTTGTTTTTTCCCCCCTTAATCTTCTCCTGGCACTAAGTACAGTAGCGCTTTCTGATTTACTCTTTTAAGTGACGATTGGATATACAGAGATTGTGTACAACTAACTTGCAGGGGTTGCTGTCATTGTGTTAGATCATATTTGTACTTGTCAGGTACTTTGTTCACCTGTATTTCATCCTAGAAAATATCCAACCAGGATAACTTTTACTTTGGCCTCCCAGCCATCCTGTTGCTTGTTCTGGCTGCCTTGGCTTTCTGCCCTTCTGCAGTGCTTCTCCTGTTAGCAAGGCAGACTTTCCTAGAACTGGGTTCTTTGATGTTTTGTGTAATGAGTCCTCTCCCTTGACTAATAAATTACAAACACAAGCCAAAGATATTGTTACTGCCAGGTTCAGACACCATCCTACACCTTTCTGTGCCTAGTCACTCCAATTCTAATTGGAATCAAGGCCACTTTTACCAATACAGTGCACAGCCACATGGGATGCTACGAAGTTTTGGGCACTAACGCCTCTAGTTCCATGGTGCCCGAATCAAGGCCACTTTTACCAATACAGTGCACAGCCACATGGGGTGCTACGAAGTTTTGCCTCTAGTTCCATGGTGCCTTAGATAGCTGTGTGCTGCATAAGGGACTGAGCTGGTTCTAGTGGTCAGCCACATCTCCTGGTCACCTGCACCCATCTCTGGGGGTTGGGTAGGGCCTCAGACACCCCACACTTTCTCTACATGTCATAATCCTAGCTGGGGGATGTGGTGCCAGCAGCAGAGGTTGGGCCCAGCGCTACACTTGCTGGCAGGGGGAGGCAGAGCAACCTGGCCACCACCTGCCCTGCTCTGCCGCCTTCCATCCGCATCACTCCACTTCCCACCACCAGTGAGTGCAGAGGGTGTTTCCATGCCTTCCTCTGAGCGCCCTGCTCCAGGCAATGTGCCTGCATAGGGCTCCAACATTCCTAGGAAGAGCCCTGAGTGGAAACCCCAGGCCTTCCTCTGAGCGCCCTGCTCCAGGCAATGTGCCTGCATAGGGCACCAACGTTCCTAGGAAGAGCCGTGAGTGGAAACCCCACAGTGGGTGGCCACAGGGCCACATAAAGAGCTTGCAGAAAGTTTTGATCTTAGTAAGAGCTAAAATGTTTTCCTTTGCCTCTTGCTGTGATTGCAAATGCAATACCCAGCAAAACCAGCACCCAGGTGTTGCAGGCTCTTGTACAAAGGGACAACCATGCTAGGTTAGACCAAAGGTCCATCTAGCCCAGTATTCTGTCTTCTGACAGTGACCAGATTAATCCTTTAGTTCCTGCCTCATGCCTGGGGCCCTTTTGGTTAGCCCACAAAGAAGATCCATGAAGAAGCATGACACATGACCATCAAGCACATAGCAATGCCAAAGTCACAAGCCTGGAGGAGAAAGAGCCTCACTCAGTTTCCCTCCCTGCCCCATGTGCCCTTTGCCAAGGAAAAGCCAAAGTTGGGGCCCAATCCTTTACCCACCACCTACCTTATGGGACCCTCCCTTACTGGGCTGGAGCCCGCTGCTGAGACACAGGAGCAGGCAGCAGCTCCCCCTGGGGGAGCCCACTCCTGACGCTGTGCTCTGAGGCAGGGCTGGTGGCTCTGCTGGCTTGCGTCGGGGACATGATGGGGCTAAGTGGTTTCCCCTTCATCTTCACTTGTCCCAGTAAGGCAGCACCCCAGGCAGGGGACAGAAGCCAGCTAGAGTTGCCAACTTTCTCACTAGGACGGCATTAACGTCAATGATCCAGTCGGGAACAGTTGGCAACCCTAGAGCCAGCAGCTGGCTGTTATGACAATACCGGGCAGTGACAGGGCTGCAGGCACGGAGCAACCGCCCACAGTTCAGGCCCCTAAGGCAAGGCCTGTGAAAGGTACCAGCCTGGCCCGAGCGCTCTGTGTCTGTGTAGGTATTAATCCCCACTCTTCACCTAGGGAATTGAACCATAAAGACCAGCATGCTCATCTCTGTTCAGAAACGTAGGTGTTGTCATTCAGTGGCTGGTCTGACACAGCAGTAGTTCAGCACATATGCACCAGAGGGTGTCCAAAATAGATTTTTCAGCCTTAACTGTAACTTTTCTAGCAGTTGTGGCTTTACATCAGATTCTCAGCTGTTAGGTCCTTTCTGTTGACTAACTTGCCTCCTTCATCAAGAGAGGCAAATAACGTGCAAGTTATTTCCTTTGACTCCCTTTGTCATCCACTCCACTTTCACAGGCACAATTTCATAGAAAGGAAACACTAGATATCTTGCTTTCAGTTGTTTCAATTTAATCCAATTAAAATCTAATCTATACAAAGTGTGAGGGGGGCAACCATTTTTTTCTACAAATATTGCACTGGAGGATATGAATTTTTACAACAACCACCAACCTATCCTTTTTCTTTTTCCCCCACACCTCTGTCCCCCAAAATAAAGTAAAATAAAAATATGAAACTCGATGTTTACATCCTTTAGAGTATTGGAATTTGTGCCAAAACCAAGTTGCATTACATTTTCTTTTAATGGCTTTTAAGACATAATAAAACCTAATACGCCTTAAAGTAGTGGTATCTATGACATTTCAATCCCTGGTACATCTTTGAAAAGCTAGAATGAGACACCTTATCGCTTTCTATTTTCTCATTTAGCTCCATTCTTCATTCATACCTATGATCTTGAAATGCTTCTCAGAAATCAGTACCATGGTGATAACATTTTCAGTTGAGATATATGCTTGAAGTAGGTAATACTTTTTAGTCAGCCCCATGCATGAGAGAGCATCCCCAATAAAAATTCAATTCAAGAAACAGCAGAAATTAAAGTAGCAAGCTCCAAGTCAATCAAACATTGTGTTTATGGGCATTGTTTCAGGCTCCCAGCACAACCTCTTTCTAAGCAAAGGATTCCTGGCAGAGTGAGAACTTGGAGCAAAGTATCATTTTATCTTGTTTTTACAAAAAATACTTTAGCGAATTTAGTATGGGAAAACAGCGCCAGACTGACTGCTCTTTAACCCAAGAAAAGGTGCTATATGGGCAGCAGTAGGACAAGCTTTTTCATGTATACCTTACTAATATGCCAAACTCTGACCTGAAGGGTAACTTTTTGAGAGCAAATTCAGTCTCTATGTCCATTCACTCCTTGATCTGTTTGCAAACAGCAAAAAAGGGGCTCATTAAGGTAAATTTTTGTGCAATGTAAACCATTGTCCATTAGCAAGTTAATTAACATCATGAACATTTTAGATCAAGCAGTTTTCAGTAGGTGAGCTTTGACTAGAGCTGGATTTGATTCAACAATTGAGAGAGGGGAAAATGGCCTGTTTCCTGTAAACTTTTATATCTTTTTTTTTTAAAGTCTATTTATGTAAAGAAGGTAAATAGCTAACACTGTATAACAAGAAAACTGATGACGACAGCAGACCCACAGGAGTTGATGGGACCATGTGCACTGCTTTACTGGCAGGTGGGAGCTCACCCTGCTGGCTGGCATAGAGTGATGCAGCTGCAAGATAAAACCATTGAGAGATTTTTGCATGCAGAAAAATGGTGACCCCACAACAAAGCGACAAACAAAAATTTGGGCTCTCCCTGCATCATTGCGTCAAGGGAGTCACAACTGCAGTGGCAGACACAAAGGTACGGAAGCATCTACGTTTAGCACTTAGATACCACTGTGTTTATTTATACCTAGATGATTGAGGGTTGGAAAAAAAAAATTGCTGCACACCTACATAACACCCATCTTTCCAAGACACAAAAATAAGACATTATTATAATCAGATCATCGGATATCCGATCATAACTACATAGATACTGCCCTTCAAATAGGGTTTGACCAGTGGTGTAATATTGGCCATTTACCCTAAACACGAGAAAAATCTAGTTTGAGTGAAGCAGTGATTAAGCTTAGAGCAAGCTGTGGTGGAGTGGGGGTGCTGTCTGCTCTGTGACCCGGGGTCCACCTGCGCTGTGATGTGAGATTCTCACTGACTCTCCCAAATGTGTATTAACCTAGACACCCAGGCTCAGCCTCCCAGGGAGGGAGACAAAGGGAGGAAGGCGGAGACCAACACCTGGCTGGGGGGCAGGGCTGGAAGAGAGTTTTAGTTTCTGTCTGGAATTATGGAGGAAGCAGCCTAAACTAGGGGGCTGAGATTTAGGAGCACAGTCTCCCCCATCTCAAGGGGGGTTGAGGCATCTTAGGCCTGGCCCTGTAACTGGATTACATCTATGATGTGCTGTATCCTGGAGAAGGAATAAACTCCCTCTATTCTACTGGCTGGGGGGGGCTGTTTGTGCCACTACAGGGGTGCAGGAGTCGGAGGAACCCCGACGCGCCATCACATATGCGTCTCCAGGGTGCAGGTATGAACTGTGGCAAATCTCATTTTAATGCTCATGTAAAAAGAGGTCTGTATTTCATTGTACCCAATATACTGATTTGGTGAGGACTGTAAACAACTATGATGGCAAAGACTTAACAAAGAGGACCTATTATTACTTGTATTACAGTTGTGCCGAGGGCCCTCAGACAAGGATTACAGTGCCTTCATTTTGGGTGTTATGCGAACTTACGACTGGATCTCTCGTCTAGAATAAAATCCATGTGGAGGAGGGAATAAACCTTTTCAAGTTTCTCCTTGTCAATCCTTTTTGAACAGTTTGGTTGAACTACACCTTCGAAGAATCAGCTTACCCACCCAATGCCAGGATCGTCCATTGAAGAAGGTCCTGTGCTAAATCTAGGGTCCCAGTGCCCTTTCCTTGTGTCCTGCCCTGCTACTGTGACTCTATTGGATCTGGTTACAACTGCCCAGGCCTCTTTTATGGGTGGATTCCTAGCAAGAGGTTGGAACTGCAGAAATGTGATTCAGTTCCTGATTTTATTATTAATTATTATTATTATTATTGGTCCAAACTGCCGTAAAAGTAACAAAGAAAGACCAAAGACCTTAATGGATTGATTTGATGAAAGGTTTAAAATGATCTATATCTTGAGCAAACTATGCAGAGATGAGGAGAGGGGAGAAAGCTACCACTGCTAGAACAGTGTCACTGACCAGGAGAAAAGGATATGTGGCCTAAAAACAACTAAGGTGAAATGGAGGGGGGAAAAATCAAAACTGATCATTAGGAAAATTATCCTGACAAGCAAGTTCTATTAGGCCATGTGGAATTGTTTCCCATGGAAAGACATAAGTTATTTAAAACTAAATTGGAGAGGAGGAATATGGTCCATCCTGCAGGAAGAAATCTGCATTAGCAGAGGGGTAGAGGATATCTAATCTCTAATGCTACTAAACAAATGTCTGAAAGTTCTTCTGTGGAAAAACTGCTTCAACTGCTTTGCGCATCTTTCCTTCTCTAGTTAGTATGGCACATGCTAGCATGGATCTCTCTAGAACAGAGACTGACTTTGTTTTATTTAAAAGCTGACCCTTTCCACATCGTCACATTGTTGGCAGGTAGCTATAGAACGGGAAGGAAATCTGAATGACCCTGATTAGAGGAAGGGATGTGCTGATGTCTAAAATCAGCGCTAGCTTTCTACAAGGAGAAAATAACATTGATGTTAAAGAGACTGAGTGTGGGCTTTATGATGCTTCCTTTAGGTCTGAAATACACATTGGATCTTTTTCCACATCTTAGCAAAATTCACAGGTAAAACAAATAATTTCTTGTAAAAGCTTGGATTAGTACCAAACAGGCTTCAAGCTAATACCAAAAATATACAGTCATGACATGTGCCTGTTCAGGAAATTTCATAAAATGATACTGGTTATTGTAAAACCAATGAGCACTAACTTTGTGAAACCACTGAGACTCTTAGCAGTCAATGTCATGTCTGGAAAAAGTTTTGAAACATACTGTGGGTTTTGAAAGGAAGATTTTACCACAAGAGGTAGGATAATTTGCTCACACACACAAAAAGAGTCCTTTTCTACTTCTCACAATATTTTTTTTCCATCAACCAAAAAACCCCCCCATTTTAATAGCTTGCAAAATGCTTAGAGCCTCTAGATGATAATGAAAGAAAGAAGGACGAGAATAAGGACTTAATAGCCAGTCTGCAGGATGAGCACCCAGCTACTACACTGTTCATCTTAACAATGAGGAAGGTTCAAATCAATGCCCCTTAAGTACAGTATTCTGTCTGAAGGCTTATAGGGAAGTTCATAGGTATCTGTAAACATGAGATGCATTCACTGTTCCAGAAGTCTTTGCTGCAGATTTCTAAAAGTAGAGATTTCCTGAATGTTAATCAAAGCAGCTTTTGTTTTTATTTGGTCTCAAAGGAGAAGAGGGTTAGCATTATTGGAAACTGTAGACCTCATTTCATGGAACTAAATTCTGCTGTTGGAAAGTGTTTTGGTATGAGATAGGATTTAGCTGGATCTCTAGTCCAGTTCCTTACTTCTTCAGAAAGCAAGTTTCTGATTAATGCCTAATAACGATTGGTAATAAGGACTTCTATGCTCCAGGTACTGAGCTGTTGGAAATTTGCTCAAAGAAAATGGAGAGATGCTGCCTTTTTGTTACTACTTCCATTCCTCCCATGCATCCTTCCTGCTCGCTTTTTAGCCTGTAGAATCTCCTTATCATCTTTTGTACTGATGTATTGAAGATTAAATTCATCTCATTTAAACATCAGTTGAATTTGAATTGTAAAGCTGTAACATTCCCAATGACTTAACTAGCAAGTGAAGAAAGTGGGCAGTTCATATTTCACTCTGATTCTAAGTCCCCCATCCCACCCCCCAAAATAATAAAGGTGGTATAAAGTTGAGGCACAAGTGGTTAAGGGTGAATTTGAACGTGATCACTTCCAGCGGCTGCTTCTTGAACTGGTATGTGTCCTGGCGGTAAAGGCTGATCACCTGCAAGATGGTTTTGTGCATTTCCAACTGGGTGTTCTCCAGCTGTAAAACAAAAATAAGGAACTGTGTCAATTTCTTAAATAAACTGATCCCAAACTAGCAAAACCTCTAAAAGAAAATAAGATTCCAGTGTAGGTATTCCTGCAATGTGTTTACTGTAAATAAACTATTTAGATATTGATGTGTGATTATTAGGTTTCATAACAGTACAAGTTGAACCTCTCTGGTCTGGGACTCTCTGGTCCAGGAACATCCACGGTT